TCAATAGGGGTTGGAGTAGTGGTAATTGAGGAAATTTGAATGTCTTCTGTAAAGTCGCTCGCCGTATACCCGGTTTTTACGGTTGCGGAGGGTTTCATAGCCTGCTCTGTCCGTTGAGTCTGGCCGTCATAAACTTGATCCTTCGCGTAAAGTAATTTATTAAAATATAGTTAAAAATATAGATAATAGTAAACTAAATCTTGTAGTATCATTAATAAATCTTATGAAATATAGAAACAACTCTAAAGCTAGCAAAATTTTTTTAAAATATATATAGCAAAATGCTTATAATTTTATTTGTTATTTAAATAAAAGTTATATTAAATATAAAAAAAAATTTATTAGAAAAATTAATTATCTATCAAAATAAAATAAAATTCTATATAGTAAAATCAGAAAGTTTAAATAAATATACAAATAACAAATCTTTAAAGTTTATTCTATAGCTTGTAAAGTACTTATCATAACTAATAAGAAATTAAAGTTAGCAATTTAAGATTAGCTTATGCTAAATAAAAAATAATATAGTACTAAAACTGTTTCTATAACTATACAAATTTGTGAAATTAAAGAGATATCTTATTAATTTGCTATAATTTGTACAAAAAAGATAATCAAATGGTTAATAGATAAAGAATTAAATAAGTAGTTTTTTATAAGCATACTTGTTAGATAATATTGAATATTTATATTATTTAATAAAGTAATATTGTTAAACTTTCTAAATAGTTTACTTTTAGAATTATAGTAAATAAGCTAATATATAGTAATAATAAAGTTTTTGTTATATATGTTAGGACTTAGTAATTCATCACTATAGTGACACATCACTAGTCCCTTATTATGTGATTAATATTTATTATCATTATAATATTAAAAATTTAATCACTCACAATTTATAATTTATTACTGTAACGATATATCACTAATCTAATAAATCTATATCTGCATATGTGGAAGTTTTAGCTGTGCTTATAAAATTATTAATTTTATTAGTTAGTGATATAATGCTATAGTAATAAGTAAAAGACCCCATAGAGAAAAAGTGAATATTCAACTAATTTATTTTGATGCTTTGCATGATGTACAACTTGGTTATAAAAAGATATTAGACTAATTGTTTTATTAAAATGTTCAAATTAACAGAGAAAATCATCAGAAAATTGAATCATTAAAAGGTTAAATTGTATGAATTAATGCACTTTTGAGTTTAATAAAGTTCAGTATACTCTTTAAGCTTAAAAAAAAACAGTACAAATAATACATATATTAAAGTTCATAATACATAATTTTTTGCAAAAATAAAATAGAACCTTTTTTTACTTGTAATTTATGCCTGTATTTCAAAATTCTAATCTGAAAATAACTTGAGTATATTGTTTAGATAGTCTAATATAATAGTTATATAGTATCATTTATAACTTCTAATATAATATAGTAATTACATTTAGCAGAGTTTAAATAACTTTATAGCAGATTTATTATATAACTGCAATATACAAATACTACACTAAACTTATGCAGTAGCAATATGCTTAGGAGTTATTTCCAGATCAAAGATAAATATTTGTATAAGTATTATTCAAATGAGATAATTAGAAATAATGAATAATAAGATTACCTTGCAATTTTTTTAGTAATAGCCTGTATTATCACATTTCTTACATTGACGTTGATGTTTAATTTTAAGGCCATAACTTTCATATGAAGACTTAAGTCTTTTAGTACTAAGTGGTTGTCCTTTATTATGATGTTTCTTTAGATTTTTTAATTAAGGTATAATAGAACTCGAGTCATTGTCATTAGCATTATCAGTTTGTAAACTTTTATCCAAATCTGACTAATCACTAGTATTTTCTTCAACAAATTCTTGAAGTAGATTAGTAAGTTGCTGCAATTTTTAATTATTCTGCAATGCCTTACTGATGGCTTTTTTATATATGCTATGTAATTTTTTATAAACAGCTTTTTGTTCAAGAATGATTAGTTTTTCTTCATGAAAATCTTTTTTACTCTGATTAAAAGTATATAAATACGTTACCACAGCACCTTTATTTATCATACATTGTTCATAATCACCTTTAAACTTATCTGCTTGCAAAAATAGTTTCTTTGAAGTATTTATGTTCTCACTGTACCATCTGATTAGAATTAACCTAATATAGAAATATGCTTCTTTTGTAGCTAACATTACCTGAAAAAAGTGACTACAAATAATTTCACTTTGAATAATAGAAAAACAAGTACAAACATAACCCTAATTTTGCAACAAAAGAATATAAAATTTGATCTGTAATAAATTTCCAACATTTACAGACCAACTTTCTTTAACATTGTGTGAACTAACAAATTCAATCATTCTTTTCAATATTGCTTGTGGAATATTGATAGATAGTCTATTTTCAAATATAAATTTGTTCTATGTATTACCAAATATAATATTATTAGCTATCTAATAATAATAATGTAATCAAATCAGACTTTTTTTAGATTTAGTAATAGTAAAAATTCCTTAATTTATTGAGTGCTAAATTATTGTATACACTATTCACTATTTATTCAGTTTTAAATATTTATTCTATTCGCCACTAGAGTTTGGAACTGAATTACTAAAATTAAGTAACCTGCTCATATAATAAGATTGTAGATAAAATCTTTAGATCAATTGATTACGATATTGCTGTTATGAATTCATTTAATATCAGAGTTATAAAAAGTATCACATATATCCATTGATCTCTCTTGTTCTAGACTATGATCGAATATTCTTACTTAGTATATATACTTACATATATACAATGATACTAAATATAACTAGATATTATCAAATAAATTCGAATTAAAATCTGATACATGTTTTTATTATTTAAATAAATTTTGAATTAAAAATGAAATCCAGTTCTAAACTCTATTCACTACTAAACTACAGAATTATCAATCTAAAAGCTTTTTTATAAAATTTTATAGTAAAACATAATTCTAATCTAATAGCGAAGCTATATTTTAGTAGCCTATACCTTATCCTATTATGATACTAATGATTCACTTAGCTATAACAATTTTTTAGTTATTGGTTAGCAATTGGTTTTTTTTAACTAACAAATAGCCAAATATTGCTTTAGCTAAAAAATCAATAATATAGCTAAACTAAGAATATAACCTTAATCTCTGCTAACTCTATTCATGTCTAGAGCTTCATATTTAGTGAATATTTGAATATATAATTCTCTGACAAATAATTTAAATAAACAAATTTTATTCGAATAAGCAAATTTATTCAAAAAATTTTTATAATTCGTCATATAAAACTTTAGTCATTAGCTGCTTCATATATAGTAACTATATATTATTAGCTGCTTCATATTTAACAACTATACGTTATTTGAATAAATAGTACTTATTTAAATAATTTAATCACTTGGCAAATATTCAAATAGATATTTGCTAATCTAAATTATTTGAATATTATTTAAATAAAAAATCTGTAAGCTCTATTCATACCTTAATACTAATCTATACCCAAAAAATTTTATATACCCAATTTAAACAAGAATAATTAAGCATATAAAAATTGCAGATTCTGAATTGTCTACACTAAAATATAATATTAGTTTATATCCTAAACTAATACATACTAGCTAACATATTTAACTAATATACCAATCCTAACTAAAGCTATCTTGCTTAAACTAATAAAATAGTTACTCACCTTAGCTATATTTTCTATATTCTCCTAAGTAACCAAATTTATAATATAATAGAATGTCTGATTTATTTTGTTATGATGTATCTTCAAAAGTAAAGCTATAAGATATTTTTGAAGGTATTAATCAATTTTAGTAAATAGAATATTTACATTATGTTGATTTTGTATAGTAGGTATAGACAGTTTCCAAAACTTGTATTTGTTTTCTTTATATTATATGTCAAGAAGTCTATGAAATTCACTTATAAGATCATACAATAAAACAATTGAATTATAAAGCAAGCACTTTAGATATCTATTTACAGACTCCACATGAGAAGTTGCTAGTAAACCTAAAGCTAGTAAAACAAAGCATCTAATATGTCTTCAATCTATAAAGAAATTTCAGTTAATTTTGGATGCTAGAGTAGTCTTCTATAAGCTTATTATATCTTTGTTAAAAGCTATCTTTGATAAGGTTATTGCAACAAAGGTAAAAATTATCTAAAAACTTTTTATAATTATCACCTAAAGTTTTTCTGAGATTCTTATGTAAGTTTTGTGTTATATGATATGCACAGTGAATAGGGTAAGTTAAAAGAAATATTTAATGAATAGCAGAATCTACTGCTAGATCTGTGTCAGTAAGAAGAATATCTAAATTAATAGCCAAAAATATTAGTTAAAAAACAACTATCACTATCTGATGATTGATTGATTAATTACTATATTACCAAATAAAAACAACTCCCAAATGACTTAAAAATTTAGAGGTTACAAATTAATAATCAATTAGTAGAATTGGCAACTTATCTAGATGTATACTAGTTACTTCTAATAACTTTCTGAATATCCAGATATAAGACTCGATATGTTTGTCAACCAAAAAACTTTGAGCTAGTAAGACATTACAACAATCATTATTAAAGCTAACAAATAGTGATAAGGCCATACTATATCTGTTGGTTTTGTGAGTTATATCATTAAGAATACAGTTGGAATACTGAATCCAATTTTTGATCTGCACTAGTGTTATCCACAACAAGTAAGTTAATACATTGTCATTATCTCATCTATAAACTACAAACTATTGGAGATCATACTCTTTTTGCTAGTCAAGCCAATTCGAGATTTGCACTATATCATTAGATATTGATTTATGTATTGAGTGAAATTTGTTGATAGCAGTATATAGGTCTTTCGAATAAATAGGAAGTAAGAGATATTTTTTTTTAAAGAATTTCCTTTATACAGTCACACCAAATTTGTATGATATTGTCATAAATTTAATATCTTCTAACATTTCATTTGTGAATTTTTTTGATTCCTCGAATTCAATTGCTGATCTATTTAATTTGTATTTTGTTCATCTACAACCTTGTTAATAAATATTAAAGCCTCAGAATTATTAGTTTTAGGAAAAGAGGTATTAATTAAAAAAGGATATCCTATCTTTTTTGAACCAGTATCTTTATTAGAATTTGAATTATAGTTCTGACTATATGCACATATAAATGCCTGTCGTCGAACTATGTTGCTTTTTTAATACACCCTATCTTTAATTATATAGAAACCTAGCTTTTTAGCCTATTCTTACAAAAATGATTTATAGCAATCCCAAGTCAGAAAAGTTTTTTCTGTATCCAAAGTACTATGTTCATTTTTAGTAAGAGATACTAACACATTAAAAAAATTAGCTCACTATTAATAACAGTAGGATAACATTATATCAAATATTTACCTGTAGCATTTAAAAAAAATTTTGCTCTAACTCTTTTTCTTCTGAAACTAATTCTGAAATTGGTCATTTATTTTCAGTAAGAGACACTAATACATAAAAAGATTAGCTTACAATTAATAGTAAAACAATGTTATATCAAATATTTACATGTAGTATTTGAAGAAATTTGTTCTAACTTTTTTTTTCTAAAACTAATTTCAAGCTTAGTTTGTCTATATTTTACTTTTGAAAAAGAGAAAAGATTAGAAACTGTAAAATTGTTTAATTAAAAGAACAAAAATTATGTAATACTTATTTATTATATTGCATTAATGACAATAGAATGATTATGAATATGAGTAATTATATTTAATTAGAAAGTAAGTTAGGATGATATGATTTTATATTATACATGTATTTAATTTCTGCATATTGTATATGATTATTAAATTTAAAAATTAAAAATTAAATTTAAATTAACTTAGTTTTTTAGAGTATAGCGTATTATAGCTATAGCAATAAATTATAATATTCTATATGTTATATATTAGAATTTAGTTAATAATAAGCTAAAAGTTACTTTATTAGAACTTCAAAATTTAACTCAATATACTAAGGTATTAATCATACATACTGTTATTAAATTGTATGAATAATATTAACTAAACCTAACTAAAAGTTTAACTTAAACAACTAACAATACAGCATATATATCAGATTATTATTATTATTATTTTTTTTTTGTTTTTTTTTTTTTTTAAGGTAAGGTTTTGCCTTTATCTTTATTAAAATTTGTTAAGATTCTACAAGAGGTTTCTTAAAATTTACAAATTGGGGTGAAGTCAATAGAAAAGGGACAAATTTTTTCTAAGTAAATATTTTCTCAAGTTTAGAATAAAATATTTCAACAACTACTAAAGCAAATTCTATAAAAATTTTTTTATTTTAATTTTAATAAGTTATAGATTTAGGATAAAAAAAAAATTTATTAAATTTGATAAGATAATTATTGAGATATTTTAATTTAAAAATAAAAAAAATTTCACTAAAAATGATTTGTTCCTTTTCTATTGACTCCACCCCAATTGTTTACAAGAAATAAGACTTAGACTATAAATAATAAACTATCTAATTTATCTGCAACCTAAACCTACTAAAGCAGTTAAAAACTCATCTAGATTTGAATATTTATGATAGCATTAGATGAATAACTATATTTAATTCACAAAGTAGACCAAATATCGATTTTGTGTTGTGCTAGTTCAAAAAGAGGATATTGATTATTATTGTTATATAGTTGGTCAGGTTGGCTATATAGACATGTATATGTATAGCCTATTTTGAAGTTACTTAAACATAGTGAATATGAGTAAGTAGATTTTTGGAGTCAATTCAGAATATTATTTAAAGTTTTTCATTTAGCTAATTTAGAGCAGTAAGGCTTCCAAATTTGCTTATAGATATTATCTAAGAGTTGGAGAAGAAATTGAGTAATAAGTTTAGAAGCTATTTTGTATATATTAGTATATGTAGAGAGTAGTTCAATAAGTAAGAATGGTATAAATCCTTGAAGAGTAGTTTTAATTATTGGAATATTTTGAAAAGGTTGTTGGTATTGAAAAGATGAATGAGTAGTTAATTGATTATGTAGTTCTTGAATTGTTTGAATAGAAAGATTAAGTGATAATTCTGTAAAGAAGTTTTGAATTATTTGAAGTATTAGAGTATATACAGATTAGTTATTAGAACAAAAAAGCCAATGTTATGAGTTTTCCTAGTTGTTGCA